AAAAAAAAAAAAAAAAAAAAAACCACCACCACAACAACAACAAAAAAAACCCCCAAAACAGGACCTGGTTGATTTACCCTTAAATTTTGCTAGGGACCAAGGTTGGTAGGTGACAGTCAGATTGACAAGAACTTATCCTGACTGTAATGTGCTATGTACAATCCATAATTGTAAGTATTATGTAATATTAGTAGAATAATTTGGCTGTAACTTCTTCATATGGTGGTTAGAGAAGAACTAACACTAATACTCCTTAAACTACTCCATATAACTGACTAACTTGAAGCCAGCATTACCCTGATACCAAAACAGGATAAGGACTCACCAAAAAAAAGAAAATAATAGACCAATATCCTTGATGGAAAGAAATGCAAAAATCTTCAATAAGATTCTTTCAAACAGAATTCAACAACTCATTAAAAGATCATAAACTATGCCTACGTTGGCTTCATCCCAGAGATGCAGAGATGATTCAACATAAGTATATCAAATAAAATAAACCACATAAATAGAATCAAGGATAACAATCACATGTCACTCGTAATAGCTAACTCTTGGAAGTGGCCTAGATGTCCACCAGCAGATGAATGGATAAAGAAAATGTGGTATTTATATACAGTGGAGAACTACTATGCATAAAGAATGAAAGCATGTCATTTGCAGGAAAACTGATGGGACCTGAGAACATAATGTTAAGTAAAATAAGTCAGACATAGAAAGTTAAGTATCATATGGTTTTCTCTTATATGAGAAGCCTGAAATATACATAAATAAACAAATAAAACAGAGATGGTAGGAAATAAGAAGGCAGACTTTTGGAGATAAGGTTAAGGGAGAAGCCAGGTGTGGTGGAGCACGCCTGTAATCCCAGCTCTAGGAAGGCTGAGGCAGAAGGATCATTGTGAGTTCGAGACCAGCCTGGGCAACATAGTGAGTTCCAGAGCAGTCTGAACTACACAGTGAGACTCTGTCTCAAAAAAAGGTTAAGGGAGAGAGGATAAAAGAACAAAAAATGATCAAGGTATGTTACATGCATGTGCCAATTCCCCAAAATGAACATCACTGTTCTGTATTACAAAAATATACTAATAAAAGAGGAAGAAACTACAAGGAAAAGCATCTTTTAAAAGCGTGAATAAAATTCATAGAGGAAAAGTCTGTTTATATAATAAGATGGTGAGAAGTGAAAGGGCATTGCCCGGCCATGGCGTCCCTGAAGGGAGCGAACTCCCTGAGTGCGTTCCCAGCTGACAGTGAAGGGTGCTTCAACAGTCAGCTGAATGTGGACCACTGGGAGGCGTTGCTGGCTCGGGAAGGGGCTACCAAGCCCCTTTGTACCTGAGGTCAGAAGGAGAACACCTTGTGTCACCTGCCCACTAAATTCTTATCCATGGTTTAATGTACATTCCTCTAAACAATTCACACTGCCCCAGGGAGAGGCCACAGAGAGACCCAGGAGTCTAGATTGCTTTTTGGGCTCGGTTCTCTGAAAGTAGGTGATGGGTCTGTTTTCAGGGCTAATTCAAAACTCCTGTTCCACATGGAAGTTGCAAAAGAAGGAAGGGAAAGTTTGAGTTCTAACAATTACTTTTTAAATCCTGGACTATTTTATTACAAAATATCCATAGCCTTTTAAGTTTGCTACTCTAGAGAAGATTGCAACTTCCTAGAAACTACCTCTTGGTGACCCTGAGATAATGAAATTAAAAGGTGACTAACAGGATGATGCAGTTGACCCATTCACCGCAATTAAATTTACTATGTTGTCTCAATGGTTCCCTCAGGCTATTCAGGCTCTTGGGTACATATTTAAGACTGTTCATAGAGGGAGGTTGAATTTGATCTGTGTATGGTACAATCATGTACTAAAATATCACAATGAAATCCATTAATAAAATAATTACACAATATACACAATTAACACATTAACAGATAGTTTAAAAATAAATATTGCTATCAAATCTATTTAACTTTTATAGACTATCCCCCCACCCCGCCAGAATCTCCTAAATTTCAGATTTACATATCTTTTCAGGACACTTTCCAGGATTTTTCTTGGGAGTGCACAGCATTCTATATACCCGCAAACCAAACTCTTTTTTCCCAAAACCTGTTTTTTTCTTGTATTCTCTATCTCTGTGAATGCCATCACAATCCTCAAGGTCACCAGAACTGGAGTCCTAGCTATTGCTTCCATCTCCTTCCTACTCAAATTTCCCTATATCTAACCAATTTCCAAATCCCACATTCTCTTTTTTTATCGTCTTTTCTGCTTGTCATCTCTTTTCACCTATCCACTGACTACCTCAGTTTTGGCCTCTCTCCTGGGTGACTCCGAGAGTCTTCTCACTGGCCTACCTACTTCTACTCCATGCTACCGTTACTGGGTTTTCTGAAATGTGCCTCTGAACATGTGACTTTCTGTTTTAAAACCCTTCTATAGACCTACACTCTAGCCTGCTTACTCTTTACTAGTTTCTCTAATTCTGCATCATGAAAAATTCGAAAATAGACAAAAGCAGTGAGAATTGCAGAATGAACTCCTCCAGCAGTTACTTAGACTTTTGTGCTACACAGAGATACTGCGTCAAGTCCCTCAATTCCTGTGTCTTAGTTTTCTCATTTGTTAGATGAGAAGTTGGATTACACCAAAAACGTTAAAAATTTCATATATGTACATTTAATGTAAATGTATATAAATGTGTATATTTAAGATATGCTTTTACCCAAAGCTTAAAAAAGACAAAAGATCGACAACTCAAGTAATTAAGAGTGTGGAGAGGTCACTTGGTAACAGGGAACAGTAACTTCTATGAGGGTCAGGTCAGTGGCCCAGGAAAGGATCGACTTGCCTGAAAAAACTATAAAATATTAACATAAACATTTAAAGAAATCTCTGTTATATCTTCAGAAAAGTATATTTATGGAGCATCAACTTACGTTTTAAAACATGGGTCACCAGACATCAGTTGCATACTGATCAAAACCTAAAAATAAGAACAACAAATATTATTATTAAAGATTTTTGGAGACTGGAAGCCATATTCTGAGAATCTATGCTTCCCAAACAGTATGTAGTCCAGTATTTTCTATTTAGAAAATATTAAATAAGATGATTGTTGAACTGAGTTATATTCATATCAAAAGACTGCTTTATATTAAAAATCATTTTGGGGGCCAGGGATTTGGCTCAGTGGTTCCGCTGCCTGCCTCACAAGCCCAAGGGCCCGAGTTCAGTCCCCAGTACCAAAAAAAGAAGGAAAAAAAAATCCTTTTTAACATTCAAAATCTTGTAATTTTAGAAATAAGGGTGGAAGAGATGAGAACAAAAACCCAGTGCTTTCCCAGTAATGATCCCTCCTGGCAGTGCGGAACTGTGCCGATCTGGTCCATGTGTCTTTACTCCCAGATTCCTGTGGTGTTGAAGAATCTAGTAATATTTCTCTCCAGTCTGCTACATTAATATTTCACTGGATACCTTTTGGTGGCTTCTATGAGTACAGAGTTTCTGGCCTTTGTTCCAGCTTTAGATCATTTAAAGCTTCTTCTAATTCCTTTTGCAACGTTGCTCTCTGGTTGCTGACTACCTTTGTTTAATAATCAGCCTCTTCTAGGACCTGAGATTTAGCTCAGTGGCACCACACCTGCTTTGCAAGCACAAGGTCCTGAGCTTGATCCCCAGCACCAAAAAAAAAAAAAAGAAAAAAAAATCAGCTTTTCCTAATTATCTCTCCTCATCTCAAATGAATCATTTCACATTCTTATGGGAATAATGGTAATAAAAACATTAACAAAGCTCATGACTGGAGAATTTTTTTTTTTTTTTTTGGTACTGGGGATTGAACTCGGGTCCTTGCACTGGCAAGGTAGGCCACCGAACCGCTGAGCTAAATCCCTGGCCCTTGGAGAACTTATTATGTGCCAGGAATGAGTAAAAAAAAAAGTTTTATATGTATCACTTCATTTAACCTTTAATACTCCTAAGAATAGTAGAGCGATACTCTCATTTTAGAGCCAGAGAGGTTAAACCATATTTTCAAGATCAGGAAGTTAGCAAAGGGCAATGATGAGATCTGAGCATAGGACTTCATGTACCAAACTTTGTGGTCTCAATGAATAACAGATATGTATGTATTACTGTTTTCCAGCTAAAGGCTGCCAAATATCTTCTATAACTTTTATTTCATTTGGATTTCCTCATCCCAGTGCCTCCACTACTATCCTTTCGCTTTAAATGCCAAACATCTGCTAGACTGGCTTTCTCATGACCTCTTCTTTCCTAGAACCCTACAATCTGGATTCTAATTCCAGCAAGACAGCACTCTTGAATATTCTGAATCTCAGGAAGGAGATGGAGAACACACACACACACACACACACCCCTACCTTTTAAGGAATTGTGTAATGTAGTAGAATAGAGAAGTAAGACCAAGGTTGGAAGAGATGAGAAACTGGTTTTGTCTTTAAATAAAAAAAAGGGGGCACAGGCTGGTGGTGCACTTGGCTAGCATGCATAAGACCCTGGGTTCCATCCTCAGTACTACAAAAAGTGATCAGGGGGTGGGGTGGAGGGGCGGAATATGAAGCTGTTTGTATGTTTATAAGGATGACTCATTAGAGAGAGATGATTAGGAGAGGGGACAATCCAAGGAGAAACACCCTTGATTAGGCAAGTTTTGGATTCTGAAGCATAAAAGGCCACTTGGCTTTTGACAGGAAGAACATTTCATTCACTGTAACAGGAGACAAAAAGATAGGCTGGAGAGATAGGAAGAATGGTAAATTTTGTGATGGGAGGATAGGGGATTTGAGTTTCATAGATTTTTACGTTCTCAATAAAGACTAAGACCATCAACTTAAAGTAAGAGTGGTGCGTGGAGATAGGAGACAGAAGGTAAAAAATAAAATATCTCAAGTTGGGAAAGGAAGTAGAGTACAACTGCTAGATGGTGCTAAGCCTTATTTCAGTCCTGCCCGCTAGTCTGGTAGTATGAGACAGTAGGATGCAGACTCAGGGAAGATGGGGAGTTGAAGTCAATTAGGGTTGGAGATTACTCAGGAAAGAGAAATGGGTAAAGGAGCCAAGAGTACTGTTAAGGGTATGTTTCTCATGGATCACGGAACCTAAGCTGGATACAGAAGGAAGGAGAAGCAAAGGGGCTGAAAAATAATGAGAAAGTGCCAAAGCAAGAAAGTGGTAAGGACCAAGATAGCCAAGAGGGTAGACTAAAAGGGAAGAGAGCGTGAGAGACAGTGGTGAGGGGGAACACTTTATCTGACACTTAGGAAGTGGCCCAGTTTTTCATGATAAGAAAGCCTAGAATGTGGTCAAGGGAGAAGAAATCGAAAAAGAAAATACTGCTCGAATGGTCAGTTTAAGGAAATGAGAAATGTTAGGCACATTTAAGATTAGCTGGTCAGGAGAGAATATATAGAGATGACAGTCCTCCAGAAGAGCTCATCTGCATTAATGGTGGAGTCACACGAAAGGGAGGACAGGCAAAGGGATGAAAAGAAAAACCGTGAAGCAGGAGAAGATAGTCATCAGTGAACGGGACAGAAGGTAAGTAGGCAGTCAGAGCATGACACAGATCAGCCAAAGAGCGAGTCTTACAGCTGATGGGCATGACTTTCAAGAGTGTGTTTTTGTAAGACAAAATGGGAGAAGTGGTGATGAAGAATCAGTGGGGACCCAAAGGAAACTGACTGCTCTATGAGCTGGCCTTGAGGAATGTGATGGTCTGAAATTTAAAGGGTATTCTAATCTTTCATGGAAACGTCATTCAGAGATTATTATGAACTTCTTACATAAGAAATACGGGAAGAAATTAAATTCACGACTGTCTGTGATGAGCCTAAGATGAAGAAGATAGTCTGTTACTGTTCAGTACAGTGCTTAGATGGCACAGTGACATGAAAAGACCAGTGACCGGATAGCTACGGATGCGCGTTCTGATCTCTACTCTGCCACCTACTACTTTCAGGAGACATTTAATCCTGAATCTGTTTATTCATCTGTAAAGTTGGGATGACAATCTTCCCAGCTATCTAATCGTATTTATCTCCCCAAGGTATGTACAAGTGCTTTGAGATATTCTGAGTTAAATAACCCTAACAATATAAAATCAACATGAAATTTAAAGCAGGATACTTTTCTAATTTCTTGTCTTCTTTTACCATTTTTCTCTCCACATCAACTACCTATCCTATCTTTCTTAGCTGCTAAATTTATGTTTTTCTTTTTTGAGACAGGGTCTCACTATATAGTTGAGACTGACCTGGAACTCACTATATAGCCCAGGCTAGTCTCGAACTCACAGCGATCCTCCTGCCTCAGCCTCCTGAGTGCTGGGATTACAGGCATGCACCACCACGCCCGGCAGCTGCTAAATTTATGGAATAAAGAAATGGACGGGCTATAACAACCATTTTATGCATTCTCATATCTTCACACCTAAATACTGAAAACAAGTTTGGGAACTGCAAGTTAAAGTTAACTTTTTGCTTTACTAATTTCTCTAAATAAAACAAACTAATTTCTATTCAGAATTATTTTCATTTCTTATTAAGTAACTTACAATCACGAAACAACTGAAATACATATAGCAAAAGGTGTATCCAGGGAGGCACAAGATATTTGTCAAATATGTTTTCAACTGATCTTATTTAATATTTTTATCGACACTGTGAAGTACATATTCTCTCTGTGATTACCAGAACACATGGCTCCTGATGGTATTTGGGAAAAACAGGGGCACAGTGAGTTTTGCCTGTTACTTGACTAGTTACAAGAAAACTCAGTGACTTCTATGAATACATCACAGGTGCTATGGAAATCACCTTTTGGAACATGCAGTTTAAAGTCTTTATTCACTTTCTTGCCCCCAGTAAGCAATTATGTTGTAGGAGTTGTGCATTCTCTGAATGTCTGCTGCACTGACAAGAAACACCTTAGGATCATGAAGGCCAAAACTTGGTATCTTTTACTACTTCTTTGACTTGGATAGGTCCCCCCCGCCCCGGGTGGTATTTCAGTGGTGTAGTTAGCTTATGATCTCACTGTTGATTCACATATTGTCCTGGACAGATGTACCTATGATTACTGAAATGCAGGGAAGCCCATTTGTTGGCATGTAAATCCTGAAGTACGCTTACTTTAAGAATGGAATTATCCTGTCTTGTATTTTTGGTATCATAGCCTTCCAGTAAACAGCGACGAGTGGTATTTCCTGATCCAGCAAACTCTGCCAGGTTTAGATCTGCAAAGCCCAGCTATGAAAAGAAAGAAAATTATATTAATAGAATATCTAGAGGCATCTATTATATTCTCTTTAAAATAAACATTCAACTCACTCCATAGATAAGTTTTCTCAAATTTCAGTCTTCGCAGTCAACTTAACAATACTTGTTTTATTTGCTTTATGTGTCCCTAAATTGGTTTACTTTTTATTTATTTATTGTTATATTTTAAAATATAATTTATAATTCTTTATTACTAAAGACTTATTTACATAGTGTTTAAGGTATAATAAAAAATAAAGTACAATACAAAAATGCTCTTCAGGAAGGAGATACTAAACAACAAGGCCATTTTATCCCTTGAGTATTTAGCCAAGGCACAAGCTATAAGATTGCTGGAAAAACTGAGTTTTTAACTTCTTTGTTTAACTTATGAAGCACCATCAAGACATCTGAAGAAATATCTAGCTGTATTTTCAAGGGTTAAATTAAAAAAGAAAAATATAAAATGCAACTTAAAGGTAATACAGATTTCAAATCTAATTTTTAGTTTCAAAGCTGAGTATTGAGAGTTTACCTTTAGAGGCAGTGTAAAAGGCAGAATGAGGTAGGAATAGAACGAATTTCAGAATCAAGGTTCATACACAAATTATACCAATTTTAAAGAAATACTGAGAAAAATATCAAGATCCAGCATCTTTAAATAATTTATGTAATTCCATTTTTTTTTTAAAAAAAAGTGTCAGCAGCTTAATCAGTGAAAACTAAAAATATCAGGCTATAGAGATTTATCTATGATCTAAACTTGTAGATGTTTTTAATCCTTTGAACAAATGTGTTTAAGTACGGAAAGATATGGGTAACTAGACATTTTTGTAAAAGCTCTCTTCTTTCCATACATAGTTCACTTACAAAGTGTTTCTATCAATATAAGGGGGAAAAGAATAGTTTCAGTCAGTTGAAGTAGTTTTGGTATATCTTTGCTCTGTACCAAATTTTCTGTCCCTTAAGCAAGTGAATTACAAACAAAACAAAACAAAACAAAAAGAAAAAATTTAAATAATCTCTTCCAGGTCTGAACTTTGTATAATACTGTACAAAATTGTCATCATTTAGAGTTGGTCTTCTTCACCAGCCCCACAATTTTAAAGTTGTTGTATACTATCTCAGAACCCTTCTATTACACTGCTTACTGATTCCAGTCTGCAACTGAGCATAGATTTTGCTCTGTTGTTAGAGATAATTGAATAGAAGGGCAGGGCAGAAAGCTAAACAGTAGCAGCTCGTGAAAGACCCACACTGTTAATTATTTTTCCCAATAAAGAAAAAAGATGACAAGTGATATATCCTGAGGGGGCATTTGTCAATACAGCAGTGCCTATGTAACCTTTTGCAGTTACTGCATGATTTAGACTTGTGCTGTTTAAAATCTTGGATTAAATGACAAAAACAAAAAATCCTATCACCTGAGATACTGAAAGAACATCAATAAAATAAGGTGTGCCCCATACTTAAGGAGAACCATAAGAATCACACTTAACAGTTTGTCCTTGGAATCTTGTTAATTAAAAAATGGCTGGGAGGCTTAGCTCACCCTTTAATGGAAATGTGAGAAGAAAAGAAAGTAAACATTAACTTTAGCAGCAAGAGTGATGCTCTCAAGAAACTAATGCGTGAAAGGAAATGTCATGACAGACAAACTGGCCTTTATCCCTTTTGCTGCAGTATATGTGTACACAAGTCATACTTCATTCGGGTGTGTGAGGGTGAAAAATGTAGCTCCTTAGTTTATAAAAGCTAATGTGGATTTGAAAAGTATTTGTACTCTGAAATGAAATAAAACCTTAATAATGAGACTGTGTCTGCTGGCTGGCATCTGCTCAAGAGCTCCACGCTGCCTGCAGAGAGATGTTGTTTATCTTGCTGGGTATGTTCTGTAGACCTTGTCAGAAGACAGACTGGTTTACTTTTTAAATGAAAGCTTATTATCTATTTTATTCTCACCTCAAGCATAGGATCTTTGATATCACAGATCTGATGTGTGACATATATTTTTCCATTTATATTAAAATAAAAACATCACTGTTAGAGTAAAACTAATGTGTATTATACAACTTAAATCATTGCATGTAACAGTGGCACTCATGCCACACCGTGGGAAACACCAGCAAACCAATCATAATCATTTGCATATTCAAACAGAAAAATGATCAAGCTCTATTTTGGTTTTCACTCTATGCTGGTAACCCTTAAAACTGCAGAGAGTTGCTCCAAGTTATTCAGTTCTCTTAATCTCTTAAGCGATTCACACACTTTCTTTAGTACAAACCCCTTTTCTTCGCTCAGCTTCCAAAACATTCTCCTTGCTAATCATCCTTGAGCTGAATCTCTCTTCTTTTGCCCTTTCTTATAGGTCTGTTCCATAGCTAACCTCTCTGCTGCTACCCAGTTCAGTTTAAACCTGTTCATTACTACTCAGAGGTCTGGTTCAATTTTCCGCAGTTACTGAAAGTTGCTCTATAGTTTTTCCTCTGATGCTGCTCAACCTTACTTTTTACTTCAAGTGGTGCAAGAAGTAAACCTTACTATATCATTATATTATTAAAATAAATTAAGTTTATTCTTCAGGACTAAGTATGTATGAAGTCCCTTATTAATAAAAAAAACTCAATTTACAATTAATTAAGCACATCCGTATGAACCAAAAAAAGCACTATACATTTCAAACATTGCTGAGATTGTTTGCTTTAAGGTTTTAAAACAGAGTGGCAAAGAGTGGTATTCAGGATGAAGTTTTTTTTTTTTTTTTTTTTTTTTGGTACCAGGGATCAAACTCAGGACCTTGCACTTGCGAGGTAGCAGTTCCACTGAGCTAAATCCCCAGCACAGATGCAGATTTTAATTGTAGACTGCAGCGTCATTTTAGCAGCTTTTAACTAGTATAAGAAAAGGATAAGAGAACAAAGGAAGTCTCAAACATGGCCTCAAACACGGTAAGTCAGGCATATATCAAGCTACAGGTAACATCTATATAATTTTAACATTGTTACTGTATTGTTATTGTAACATCTCACTGCCTTTTAGGGGCCTAACATATCAGCAGGAAAAAGCCTGGATATATCCTTATTTCATTTGCACATGTGAAGACTCCTGTGACTTACTGGATCATTTATTATTATTATTATTATTATTATTTTACAACAAAGCTGTTTATTTGTGATCAGTGTTTGAGACTCTGTACATCCCTCACAAAGTTACTTTTACATAATGTGATACTTTTAAAACTTAAACTTAGAAGTGCTAGACTTTTATTTCCCTAGAACATAAGGGCTGGTATAAATTATTTTCCAGAAATGAGGTACTGTGTTACAGAACTTGTTTCCTTTCTTTTCTTTTTGTCTGTTTTCAAGTTTTAGAGAACTAAATTTGCATTTGTTAAAATCAAAAAATAGGAAAGATGTTCTTTACAAATAATTTTGATCAAGTATGTGTTCAAAGCAAGCAGGATAAAAAGCCTTTTTTGCTAATTCTGCATGGTACTATACTGTTGTTCAACAGGAATGAGCTTCTGTCATTTGCTAAAAGAATGAGTAGTGGGGAAGAGGATATGTTGGGAATTTCGAAATGGGCAACAGAAGCATTCTCTTGGGGAAACCACAGGCAGGGGCAGCTGTGCTGTAACAATACCTCCACAGCCTGGAGGTCTAGTCAGGAGCAGCTGTAGCCCCAGAGAAAGCTCCCCTCAGAGTTCCTCTTCCTTTGCCTTGAACCCCCTGGGGCTGCTGCAGACACAGCTGTATTCACACCCTTTTCCTGAGGAATAATCTTCTTTTTCTTCTTATTTGCTGTATTGGGTCCAGAAAACAGCTTCTCTAGAGCAGCAAAAGCTGCACTTGCCTCTGTCACTTTCTTATTGGACTTGAGCCTCTGAATTTCTGTCCATTTCCGTCTACCTCCATTATAAACTGCTTGTCGTGGCTTCCACCAGTGTCTGAGACAGGTTCACACCTGAGACCGCATCTTTTTTCACTGAGCTCCATTACAGCATTTTTGCGACTTGCGGTGAGGATAGGGCCCTGCGTTCTTACCTCTTAAGCTACTGGTGGTTTCAGTTGCAGAATTTCCAGTATTATTGCTTGACTTTGAAGACACTGTTTCATTTTTGCCTTCATTATCTGATTTTTCATCGGAACTCATACATTGAATATATCTGCAACAGAGCCTGTTGGGTATCCCATTGCCTGGAATACCGTCCCTGCTATGTGAAGTTTTGCAGTTTTCTTGGATGGTCTTGAGGCTTTGTATGTTGCACCATGCACATCTGCAGACATTGTGAAGACCGGAGCATTATCCTAGCCATGTTTAAAGCAAATGTGAAAGAAAAACAGAAAACAGAGCAAGCCGTTTTCTGTTTTCTCTTCCGCTTGCCACAGCTGTAGGCCCTGTGGTGGTCGGGGAGGCACTCACTGCTTCCCGGCACTTCCGGGCTGGGGGCAGAGGGCGAGCTTTCTCCTCAGCAGCTTGACCCTTCCCGCGGATCTGGGGACCCTCCCTGAGCTATGTACCCCCACCAGGCTCTCCATGGATCCCCAGGAGAGGATGGGTCCCAGCCAGGCAGCCACACTTGCGTCCTACTCTTCTTTCATCCCCAGTCCTGGGGACGGAGCCCTGGAGCTCTCTTCCTAGGCACAGTGCCTGAGCAGTCCTGAGCCCTGCTCTACAGTTCAGATTCCACATCTGCAAGGCTGTTTATTTCACCTCATCTCTTCTTATGAGGTGGGGTTCTCACCACGTGTTTGATTTCCCTTGCCTTGAGATGGCTGCCACATAGACTAGCAGCCTCCATGTTAAAATATGGCTTCTCCCAACAAAGGACAGGATTCTTCTTCCCATCATGCCCCTTCTCCCGCCAAAAGAGTAACCTAATACTTGCTACCTTCTAGCAGCTAGTGATGTCACAGGCTCCTCCAATCCCTAAGTGCTGCCTCACTCAACTCCAACCCAGCTCAGGTTAACCCCACCCAGCTCCTATAAAAGAAGCTCCCTGTTTCTCCAGCTGCTTTTCCTTTGTTAGGAGACAGCCTGGCAGATCCTCTCAATAATAAAGGCTTGTTGTAGTCCTGGTCTGGTGCTGGTTTTTTGGCTCTTTTACCTAACACCATGTGGTCTAGGTTGGCCTTGAACTCCGGGTTTCAAGGAATCTTCCTGCCTCAACCTCTGGAGTAGCTGGGACTACAGATGCATGCCATCAAGCCCACCACTTTATTCATTTGTTTGGTTTTGGAGACAGAGTCTCACCGTGTAGTGCAGGCTGGCCTTGAACTCACAGCGATCCTCCTGCCTCAGCCTCCTGAGTGCCAGGATTATTTTATTCTTATCTGAATCATGTGTTATTTCTCAGTGGCCAAGGCTGCTGTGGCCCACACACCTGGCAAGACCTCGGGGACTGGCAGGGTTGGCAGGAGGAAGGGAGAGATCTGAGGTCAAATCTAGTGCCATTTCCATTTGCAACACTCTTTTCAAAATGTGTATTCAGGATGGTAGAAGAGAGCCACAGAAAATGTGTATTCAGGGTAGCTGAAGAGAGCCACAGAAAAACTGGCCTGGGATGGGAAAATCTCAGTGCCAAAGCTATGAACTATCTGGCCGTGAATCACAGTAGCAAAGGAAGTCTCCTCCCTTATTATGTGGGAATTGACCTTCTCCCTCCTGCAGGCCACATCTGGGTATTTCTGATGGTCCTGTAACTTGGAAAGCCTCTTGCCAATGCTGCTGTACACAGAATTATTCTGAATCACCAAGGAGCTTAAGATGAAGAAGGTGCAACAGAGGAGGGAGACAGCACAGCTGGACACCAGACCTCCACCCATAGCTGCCTTGTCACCCAAGGGACACAGTGCAGTCATGGTTTGACCAGAAAGCAATTGTTTATATGTAGCCCAGGCGGGCCTCAAATTCTCAGTGATCCTTCTGCCTCAGCCTCCTGAATGCTAGGATTACACCGGCAGGTCATGCTCAGGGCAATTTCCCTGCTCTTTCATGAAAGCTTCGAGGCTCTGGCCTGGTGTCCACAACACAGTGCTTGCTCACTTGTCCCCTGCAGCCATCCTCCTAGTGCAACAGCGCCCTGCCCAAAGAGGTCCCTGCCGCTTCCCAGCGGTATGGTGTGCTGCTCCTGGCATTGCTCAGCCCGCAGGCGGCTCTTCCTCAACTCTGCAGGCCTGGTGGAGGAGAGGGCGTGGTGGCAGGGGCCTGGATCATACATTATTAACACCCTCTATCTCATCTATTCCACCTTTGTCTTTGAACTTCAATAACTCTTTCTTGTCTTCTCTCTCTGCTCACCTTGCTTCCGATTTCTGTCAGAAAAATAAGAGCCATGAAAAGAGCACTTAACTTCCAAGCTCTTACTGCCACTTCCACGCACCCACCTGCACCTGCACTGTTCGTCTGCCTTTCCTCTCACAGCACTAGGGACAAACCGGCTGTGCTCCTGAGGCCAACCACTCTCCACTTCCCCACTCTGAGTTCTTTACTTCAGTTCTTCCAGCTCTTTGGCATTCTAAAATTTCCCCTCTCTCCTGGTTTGTTCTCATTAGCACATAAATATACTAGCTTTTCTCCTTTCTTAAAGAACCAAACCAAATCTCACTCATCTCTCACTAGGCTGTTGAATCATTTTTGTTCCCCAGGCCCAGACAAAACTCCTTACAAGTTTTGTCTAAGCGATCTCTAATTCTGCAGTCCCTGAGCACTTGTTCACCTTCATGTCCCCCTTCCGTCCTTGTTAGCCACAAGGTCGTATTCCTTAAAGACGACAAGGTCACCCCAAGGCCTTTAACTCTTGTTCTTTGGCTGAAAAACTTCTTCAGATGGCCTTGTAGCTCTGTCTTTCACTCCATTCATGTCAGTGTTCAATGTCATTACACTAAAAGATCCTTTCCTGCCTACCCTAAAATACGCCCCTCTTCCCTCTCTTGCCCTGTGGTTATCACTCGTTATCCTTACCTGCTCTGTTCTCCTTAGTAGTTATTATCATCTCGTGTCCATTGATACTTTACATTTCTTTGCTTGTCTGTCCCTTACCCCTCTAATTCCCATTAGAATGTAAGCTCCATAAAGGCTGGGATTTTTGTCTGTTTTGTTCACTGTTGGGTCTAGTACTCAGAATGACACCGGGAAAGATGGCACATGATGGGCACTTAATATACATTTACTGAATAAAATACAGCCCACTGTCTTATTGTTCACTGTTGTAATACTAACACTGTCACTAAGTTTAAACATCTGATTATCTCTTCTGGACCGTATATTTATGTTTCCACAAAATTTATACACTTGAACCCTAACTCCCAAAAGGATGGTGTCAGTGATGTGTGATGTAACCTTGGGAGGCAATTAGGTCCCAAGGATGGAGTCCTCAAGCAGAGGTGGTGTTTCTTTTTGCTTTTTTTGTGCTGAGGAAAACCCAGGGCCTTGCACGTGCTAAAGCACATGCTTTGTCACTGAATTCTATGCCTAGCCCTGGATTAATTCCCTTTACAAAGACAGGAGAGAACTGCTTCTCTCTGATCTCTGCCATGTGAGGACATAATGAGCAGCCAGCCATCTGTGCACAAGCAGTGGGCTCTCATCAGGCTCTGGATTCTGCCAGCACCTTGATCTTGGACTTCTCAGCCTCCAGAGATATGAGAAATGAATGTCATGGTAATTCGTTATGGTCGCCCAAACTGACAGTCTCCATTAAGAAAACATATTAAAAGTAGAATAGCTTAACGTGAGGCTAAAGGTTACTTATGAGTGAGGTCAACATTCAGTGAGCACCTTTTATGTGCCAGGCTGTTTTAAACCCAGAAAAACAGTGAACAACAGGACAAATACCCTGTCTTCAAAGAGCTTACATTACATCGAGATATCCTAGTGCGTGCTTTCTTAGGTTTCACCAAGATAACTGTTCCATGAAAAACACACACAGACACATACAGCCATATCTGTGGTAGATATTAACTTAGTAAAAAAATAATTTTTGGGGCTGAGGATTTAGCTCAGTGGTGTCACCACCTGCTTCATAAGCACAAGGTCCTGAGTTTGATCCCAGTCCCCCGCAATTTTTTTTCAGCATCCACATTCCAGGTAATATTAGGCATTGGAAATATAGCATTTTTTCTTCCAGTGCTGGGGATTAAACCCAGGGCCTTATGCATCCTGGGCAAATGCCCTACCAGAGTTATACCTCCAGCCCGTATAGAGTCATTCTTACTCTCATAGTTAGTAATATATGAAAGAAAATAGAAAAAAATTCTTATAATACTATCTGATACATACTGTGATAGAAAAAGACATAATTACAAGAGAGGAAAAGAGAAGTTCTTGGTGGGAAGGGATGACTAAGCTAAGTATTCAATGATACACCAGTTGATGACAAGAGGAGGCAGAAATACATGCATGGTGGGGAAAACATTAAGTCACAAGGCAAAGAATCTAAGATAGTGGAGATAATCCAGGAAGTTTACGATAAGTAGTATGCTTTATAAGGATGAGAGAGAGAATCCAGATGGCAGGTATGTAGAAGAGATGAAGTAGCGGAAATGATTTGCATACCAAAATGTATCTTATATGCTAAGTCATAGAATTTCACAGTTCCTTTTAAGTAATAAATAGCTGCTTAAGGACTACAAGTAGGGGAGTAGCAGGATTTTCTTTTAATTTTATATTATGTGAATGTGTTGACTGAAACTTCAACAGACCTGATGCTCAGGAGAGGCATTAGCCAAGAGCAAAGTCATCATACAGAGAACAGGATAATGGAAAGAGAAAAACATGGGTTACTGATGATGTTTTTCAGTCAGTGGATTAACCAAGCAGCTCAATATCACATCTAATTGTTCTGTGGGGTTAAAAAAAAAAACAAACTCTAGTTGAGGAAAGTTTTCTGTTATTTGTAGCAAAGAAGATCCTAGGTGACAATGTAAACAACTAGATTTAGGGAGTTTGGTGGTTAAAACTACTCCAGGTTCTTATCTCTGAGGACTGGAATGATACATTTACCATTCACAGAGAACATAAATAAAAAAGAAATATGGGGCTGGGGATTTAGCTCAATAGTGCCACATCAGCCTAGCAAGCGCAAGCTCGTGAATTTGATCCCCAATACCAGAGAGAGAGAGAGAGAGAGAGAGAGAGAGAGAGTAGTAATAATTACTTATTCTTCCTATTCAGCAAAAACTCGAGCACATAGCTGATAAAAATAACAAAGTGTAGTAATGAATTGAATTTTTGGCTCTCTGTATTTGTGGGTTCTACATCTGAATTTAACCAATTGTGGATGGAAAAATATTAAAAACCTGTGACTCTATCAAACATGAACAGACTTTTTTCCTTGTCATTACTGTCTAAACAACACAGCATAACAACCATACACATAATATTTCTATTATATTAAATATCATGAGGAATCCAGAAATGATTTAAAGCATATTGGAGAATGTTTGTATGTTATATGCAAATGCCATTTTATATAAGGAACTTGAGCATCCTCGGATTTTGTTATCCTGCGGGAGGGGAGGGTCTTGGAACCAGTCTACTGCAAATACCAATTGAAGAACGTATATTGAGTGTGAAGAGAACACAGAGAAAAGTTCCTACTCCACTGAGGAGCGGTGAGCCTGGCAATAATTCACAGTGAGCTAGAAACTAGAGATCATTCTCAGTAAGGAAGCTAAAACTAAAGAGTAACACCCCATAAGAACTTAGAAAGACTATGCCTTTAATTTATTGTTGGATAGAACCATTCAAGCTCCAAGTTGCTTTACTTAAAGAGTCAAGCTCAAACAACAATTAGAAGAGTAAGTCACTTAATTTTAAGTCTATAGATAGCAAATAGTTACATTATGAGTTACTCAAGAGTTAAAATCTTCTTACCTTTGCATAAGCTTTTCCACCTTTTAACTCCTGCCAAAGATAGAAAACACTATTGGGTTATCATATAATTAAGGATTTAAAATTAAGCGTTATGCCAAGTAATTTCTTAGTATCAGTGGACAGTTAAAATGTTAAATGCAACGGTGTGGACTCCTCCTAGCCCCCCCAAAACGACCACTGTATTCTACTCTCTATTCAACCCTCTTCAACGGGGCTTCTGTCCTCATTTCTCCTCTGTAGCTGTTTCTTACAATTTTCAGTGATCTTCATTTTATTAAGGCCAAAGTATCTGCCTTCATCATACTTAGTCTGCGAGAGCATTTGACAGGCTGGGGCACTGCACCTCTTTCATTATTTTTCTCTCTAAACTATATTGCAAAGGGAGAAGACAGTCATGTAATTAAGTGATGTGTCTACAAGCCAAGGAAAGACAAAAGTAAAGACTGCCAGAAAGTAAAGTCCTTGAAGATAGGACAGATCTCACTCTGAAACTACAGAACCTAGGAGAGAGGCATGGAATAGTTTCTTTCCTGGAGGGAGTATGGCCCTGGTGACAACTTGAGTTTGGATTTCTAGATTCCAGAATGGAGAATGTATACATCTGTTGTTTTAAATCACCCAGTTTGTGTATTTTGACATAGGAGTCCTGGAAACTAATACAAAGTCTTTTTACTTTTGGTTCTCACTCCTGTAAATTGATCTTTCCCCATATCTTTGTGCATGTGTGTGTTTTCAGGGTATGGAACTTGGGTAAATGCTAGGCAAGTATTATACCACCGGGCTAATCCCCAGCCTTTCCCTGCATCTTTACACAGCTGCCTTCCTTCAAATGTTTTGTTTCAGTTAAGTTTTTACTGACTTTCCCCAATTTTCTAAACAGATGTCTCTTTTCCAAGTTACTCTATTACCCTCATGGTACTTTATGCTTAACATTATCATTACTTTCTGGCTTTATTATCATGTCTTGCCAACTCCAACCAGAAAGCAAAGTCCTTGAGGATAGGATCTCACTCTGCTTTACCTCTGTCCTCAAGTACCTGGAACATATGTAGCACATTGTAGACGTTCACATATTTGTTGACTGGTGACTGACTGCTTTGCTGTGCATAGGCATCAGAGTATATTATCAAATTTTTGGTTTTTGTCAACTTTATAGCTAAAAAATGGTATCTTACTTGTAATTATAATTTGTGTGAGATCGAAGATATTTTGCTTAAAAGTTGTTTATACTTTATTTTTTTGTGGACTGTACACTCTGTCCCTTGCCTATTTTTCTAAATGATTGTTGATCATTTTATTATTTGGAAGTGCTCTTTCTAAATTAAGGAAATTAGTTGCTTGACATGATTTGCAAATACTTTCTTCTAATTTATGACTTTGCTTATGGCATTTTTTTGCAATTTACAACATGTTTATATAGTTGTTCCCTAATTTATTTTTTTATATAATACCTAGGGAGGATTATGCAGAATGAACTCAATGAATATCTCTATCTAGCCAGGCACAGCAGAAGGTGCTAGTGGTTCACTTCACTACACCCATTCTCCCCCCGCCCCCTTTTTTTGTTGAGACAGGGTCTCACTATGTAGTTCAGACTGACCTGGAGCTCACTATGTAGCCCAGGCTGGTCTTGAACTCACAGCGATCCTCCTGCCTCAGTCCCCAGTGCTGGGATTAGAGGTGTGTGCCACCACGCTTGGCGCCTCCTCTTCTTTAACTTTAGAATCTGTTGGCCAGCTATGGATGAGGGTCATAGCCTTTCTTTCAGTTTTGTGTGGCCACATGACTATGTTCTAACCTGTGGGATATGTTTCAAGGGTATATGCACACTTTTTTCTATAAGAGAAACCATTTTGATATTTAAGCTTACGTGTCAGACTTATTTCATTTAATATTATGGTCTCACGGTACATCCATTTTCCTACAAATGACATAAATTTATCCTTTATAGCAGAATAGAACAGTATTCCATTGAGTATAAATCCTACATTTTCTTTATCCATTCATCTGATGATGGGCATATGGGATGCTTCCAATATTTAGCTGTCATGAGTTGCACTGCTATAAAAATGTATCACTGTAATACGATGTCTTTAGCTCTTTCAGTAAGATACTTAGAAGGGGAATAGCTGGTCGAAATGGAATTCACTTTTAGCTTTTTGAGGAGCCTCTATATTGATATCCATAGTGTTAATAATGCTAATTTACATTCCCATCAACAACAGGGGTTCCCTTTTCCCTGTGAAGCTTTGTCAGCATTTATTTTTGATTTCTTGATGATAGCTATCCTTTCTGGAGTAAGGGGAATCTTGGTGTTGTTTAAATTTGCATTTCTCTGAGGGCCAGAAATGTTGAGCTCAGAGATGTATTGATTACCCATTTCTACTTTTTTTTCCCCGAGAGATGTTTATTCATTCCAGTTGTCCAATTTTTGATTTAGTCTTTTATTTTGGAGGGCCTATTTTTTTCTAAGTTCTTTGAATGTTTTAGATATTCATCATCTTTCAAAGCTATAGCTGGCAAAATATTTTCCCATTCTATACATTGTTCTTATACTCTACTGGCTGCTTCCTTTACTGTGTAAAAGTTTCTAATTTCATAAAATTCCATTTGTTGATTCTTGACATTATTTCTTGTGTCACTGGTGTTCTGTTCAGGGAGTCTTTGCCTATGCCTATGTTTTCAAGAGTTTCATCTATCTTATCTTTTATAGATATGTTTTAATATTTATATCTTTGATCCATTTTGATTTTAGTTTAGTATATAGCGAGAGATATGGGTCTAGATTCAATCTTGAGCATGTATACAGCCAGTTTTCCTAGCACCATTTGCTAAAGAGGCTATTTTTCCTCAGGTATGTTTTTGGTCCCTTTGTCAAAGATCAGATAGATGAATGTGCCTGAGTCTGTTTCTGCATCCTTTATTCTGTTCCCTTGATCCACATGTCTATTTTTGTGGCAGTATTGTGCTATTTTTTTAGAATCACTGTAACTTGGAATCTAGGATTGTGATACCTTCTGCTCTGCTCTTGTTGCCCAAGATTGCTTTTGCTATTCTGGGTCTGTTCTGGTTCCATATGAATTTTTGGATTGTTTGCTCTAGTGCTGTGAAGAATGGTAATTTGACTGGGATTGCATTAAATCCACATATCAATTTTGGAAGTATGGCCATTTTCACTATATTGGCTCTGCCTATCCAGGAACAGGGGATATCTTTCCATTTTCTGATGTCCTCTCTGATCTCTTATTTTCAGAGTAGTATAGTTTTCATTCAATATACTATATATATTACTATATATAGTAAAATATATCTTTTACTTTCTTTGTTAGGTTGATTCCTAAGTATCTAATTTTTCTTGAAGCTAGTGTGAATGGTACTATTTTCCTAGTTTCCTTCCTGGTGGGTTCATTATTGGTATATTGGAACTATGTTGATTTTTGACTTGGTATTCTACTGCCTTGCTGAATTTGTTTGCTAGTTCTAACAATCTTTTGGGTCTTCTATGTTAAGGATCATGTCATCTGCAAATAATGATAATTTAAGCTTCTTCCTTTCCTATACATATCCCTTTTCTTTCTTTCTCTTGCCTGACTGCTCTGGCTAATGTTTCAGATACTATATTTGAACAAGGGGGGTGATAGTGGACATCCTTATCTTTTCTGTATTTTGTGTATTTTAACTGAGTAGATTAACCAATATAAAATGATATAAAATATGGTCACACACATTGTACTGTTATCAGTCCGTTCAAAACTTGGATAAGAATCTAAAAATAATAGCTCTTTATCTGATACTGAAGGATTCAGGATTACAGTGAAAAAGCATAAAAGACTTTTAAATCTAAATCCTTTGCTTTTTAATTTTTGCTCATGTACATATTGTTTTGAAAATATAAAACAAAGTTTACATTTTATTTTTTCTTTTTCTTTAAAATTTTTTTTGGTACCAGGGATTGAACTTGGGACCTTGTGCTTGCAGGCAGTCAGTGGCACCACTGAGCTAAATCCTTGGCCCCCAAGTTTACATTTTTTTTCTCATTGAGTTTATTGGTACTTTTTAGGGATACAGTACAGTTATGTTCATCATTGGGATCTTGTACCTTTACATGACAGGTGTTGGTTCTCACTTTTCCCCATACCTCTGACCTCCCTTCACCCCCTCCTCCTTCCCTACTTACAAAAACTACAAAGTTTACATTTTAAAGCTAGTATGTTTCATTAGTACCAGTGACTCATGGAGAACTCCTTTTTACCAACCCTCCTCCTAAAAAGCCAGGATTGTGTGTGTGTATTATGTGTGTATAAACAGAACCATGGAAAATTGTCACTTTTGTAGATTATCGGTAGCATGTCTCAACCTAGTATGTGAAAACGAAATGTATAAAAAATAAAAGATAAACTTGTAATCAGAAAGGTTTGTGTTTGAGTCGCTCCTTTACCATTTATTAACAATTTGCAAAGTAAATTTGGAAAGTACCCTTACTCTTCTGAACCTTAATTTTCCTAAAAATAGAGAAAATAACACCTATTTTCAGGGTCATTATTAGAATATTGATAAATGCCTATCAAAGAATAGGAATTTAAGAAATGGCACAATATATACATAGTCCGCAAATTAATACAAATATGGTTAATACTTATATGCATAGTGACAGTGAGATAAAGGTTCTTGAATATTTTAATTTATGACTTCAAATTCTTCATCATAGTTGCCATAGAGATTTAAATTACTGCTGTAAATGTGAAGTGAAATTACATACAGTATAACAGTTCTAATAATAAATCAGAGCTAAATAAAGTGAGTTAGTGACTATGGAACTAATTATAGTTTCTGAAAGCAGAAAAATAATAGGCTATTTTTGTACCTTCCTTACAGACACTCTGTAGATACAAGGATCTAGGATGCCTGTAGCAGCACTTGCACTCATTTTGCACATAAACGAGAACTTCTTTCTCCAGCGAACACAGTTTGCTTGCACCACTTCCCTGAATGGAAATTAAAAAGAAAAGCCAGTTACTATTGATGGCATGTTATAAGCATGACAGACAGACAGAAAGACAGACAGACAGACGCACACACTCTCTCACTTAAGTCTATAATGCAAATTGATGTACTAAAAGTCAGTAGTAATAATGAGTGGAACAGAGAGAAAATGACTTCCTAACAACAATGTGAAATCTTGGAAGCTTTCAATGACAAGACACTGAGAAAAAAGTAAATTTACTTATCAATTCAATTGGTGGAAACTGAGGCTTCACTCAACTGAATGAATTCATTCATTCATTTAACACAAAACACACATTTAATTTATGTGTGTTGGGTATATGCTAGATGTTTACGATGAGGACAGAGTTTCTAAGCTCACAGGGCTTATGTTTATGGTTAGTGCAAGAGACAGAAATACATAAAAATATTTAAAGGACACACAATATTTACTCTAAGATGAGCTACAATCCTAGCTTTATTTCAGCTCTTTCAGCATCAGGATCTGTCATGTAGTGAGAGCTTACCACATATTACTTAATTGCACCACAATCCTGAGAAGTAACTGGCATCTCCCTCACTATATAGATAGAGAAAGGAAGCACAGGGGGGAAGTAACTCATCTAGGAAGCAAGGGCAAAACCAGCATCCAAACCATGCTCAGTTAACTCTAAAACCCCTTAGCCACAAGCCAAAATCTGTATTTTTTTATTCCATTAAGTTCATTGGTACATCCTACGTATACATTATGATCACATTCATCACTGGGAGTATATATACATACATACATATACATGACGTGTCTACGGCCTTGTTTTTCCCCCATCCCCCTTCTCTCCTTTCCATCCCCCCACCTCTCTCAACTTATAAAAACGTTGTTTCCTATTTTTTCTTCTCTCCCAAAATCTGTATTTTTAAAAACATCTTCACTTTTTCAAGTTTCCTGGCTTTTGTATATGCTGTTCTCTATATATATGCTGTATCCTGTGCAGATCCCAGGGGCTCAGCTTTAGAAAGCAAAGATAATTGTTCTTCTAACATAGGGAGAAAAGAGAAATAATAGGTGAAAATAAAGAGAGCTTTCTCTTTATTTCTCAATTCAATCAAGATAGGTGAGAGCACAGGTTGGATGGTTTTGATTTTCTTTCTAAAGTAGTAAGTTGTGATGGTTCAGTGATTGTGTCAATTTGAAAAGTTTGGTTAAGGGAGGCTTGGCTACTACACTGGCTCAGCAATTCCACACTGTTGGGTGAGGGAGATCAACCCAAGGGCGGCTCCTTGCCTGGATGTTACAAAGGGGAAATGAGGCTGCTTCTATTCCTTAGAGGAGCTCTCGTCTCAACCTAGACTTCATTCATCTCCTGCCCAGCAGCACACGCTGGTTTCTGGCACAGATCCTTCAGCTTTCCTTCTGGTGTAGACTCCTCAGCCTTCCATCGCAGACCTATTGGCCTCCTGTTATGGACTTGCACAGGACCCTGCAGTGAGCTCCAGACATTCACTAAATACTTTGGTCTCCAGTGTACAGACAGATCCTCTGGATTCTTCCTCATCTAACTCTATGGGTGGCCATTGTAAGCCAATCCTGTAAATTCTTATATATTTATATATCTTGTGTTATATCTTTTCTCTAGTAAATATTGACTGATACATAAGTACACTACTATAGAGCAAAGGACTATTGGGTGAGTTGAAAATTTGGATAAAAGTTAGGAGAAATCCAGGTGGTGAATGTGATAGGGAATCAACTTGTACCTGCTTTGGTGAATGAGTTTGCATTAGGACTAAACAGTTTGGTTTCATGGATAAGTAAATTAACAAAACACAACAAATAATGATAAAAATAAGCAATAAAAAATAAACCAGAATTTTTTACTGTTGTTTCCTTTCCAACATCTCTTGGATTCAACACTTGCTGAAGACATTGGCCATGGTCTCTAGAGCTCCCCGCAAATCTGTGCAAATATACTGAAGTCCTGGACCCTTCAGAACATGCTGAACCTTGTGACATGTGATTATTCCTGTCACCAAGAAACCTGATATATGATCGAGTATAAAGAAACAACATTTAAAAAGCCTGGTGGGGCCGGGGATTTAGCTCAGTGGTCCTGCCACCTGCCTTGCAAGTGCAAGGTCCCGAGTTCAATCCCCGGTACCAAAAAAAAAAAAAAAAAAAAGATGGAGAGAGAGATTAAAAAGCCTGTTATTTTACTTTTCTTATAAAATTATATACAAAAGATAGCACGTTGAGGACATGTATTAGTCTCTGAACTCCTCCCAACCCTACTAAGGTAAAAAAGAAAAAAGTCAAAGCATTATCTCAGAAGGATAAATTGAGTGCCAGGGAAGGGACAAAAATAAGAGGCTAGTGACAGGCAAGTGATAGGTATAGCAGATTGAAGAAATCTGAACTTTACGCTGGTAATGTTGAAAGGCAAGAGCAAACCTTAAATTGGTCCTGAAATAGAACAAAGGAGGGACAAAAGGCAGCAGGACCGACTGAAAACTACTTAGAAACAATCAGACCTTGACTCTTGCAGGCAGGATGAGACTCATTTTCCTAGCAGCAAAACAAGGGAATCGCTGGACTACCTGACTCAAGGGCCAATATGAGAAAAGGCGTGATGGCAAGAGGAGTGGAAGATGATGTACTTAATGGTGAGAGTTCCAACCTTCTTTTCCTAATCTGCCTTCTTGCAATGCTTGGAATTAGGCATATATTCATCAAGAAGGTGTAGGAAAACTATTTGCTGGGGAATCCAACCAGTCTCAAAGAAAAGCTCTAATGAGATGGATGTTGAGGGTTCCTAATAAAATGCCTCAGCCAGCTCAACCTATAGTAAAAGATGACAAGCACCTCCACAAGCAAAATGCTTCTAATCAAATTTTAGTGCCTCGGGTAAATATGCGCAGGCACACGAGGATCTTTTAATAGCAAAGCAGAGACCAAAATGAATAGAAAAAAAGAACTTGAACAAAACCGAGCCTATGCTGGAACAAGAAAATTCTCTGAGAGATAAAAAAGGAATTGCATCTATCATTCAGGAACAGGATGCTATATGACAGTACCATGTTGAGGACCAAGTCTTTACCACATTGACCTGTGGATCCAAATTATAATAGTACCTTAAAATGTTACTAAGCTGATTATTCTAGTCATTATTTCATAAGTTAAAAAAAAGTGAAGAAACAAAAAAACCCATTAATATAGCAAAGCCCTAAAGCCTTGCTTCATGTTCTTTTACTTTTCATTTGTTTGTGATATATCAGCAATTTCTTATGCATACTAATTATAGAATTATATTTTAGGTTTTTATCTAGTTTAAAACAACTGTGAAATGTAGCAGCTTTTATACCAAACAGTCTACAATATCATTTGAACAAATGGGCAATTTTGGCCCAAGTTAACAAAAAATTAAAGAAATCAAGTGAACTTGTATGTGAGTGTTTGTTTGAAAATAAACAAGCAGGAAAGAAGTATTTGCAGAATATTTAGCTAGTTTAGCTACAGAGTAGAGGAAGTCAACATTAGGTAGGGCTGGGAAGAAATGAGGTTAAGAAACTTTAGCACAACCTTATAAATATGTGCAGATAATTGAAATTATAGTGTAGAACAGAGACAAAGAACAATGAACATGAAAAAAATCTTAACCGTGAAAATACACTGTACATACCCTTCCATCCCCACCTCCTTACTACTATTCTCTTTGCCTTTAGATCCAAGTTCCTTAAAAGACAATACTAATAATGATGATGATATTTATTGGATGCTTATTATATAATAGTTATTAGCTCAGTTTTACAAATAAAGGAACTAAGATCCATAGAAATTAAGTGACTTGTCAGCTAAAAAGGGTTAGAACTGAATTTGAAGAACTCTCTATAGCATGGTTGTAAAGTCTTTTGGGTTTCAGCTCGCTCGGGCTGCATTGAATGAAGGGTGACTGTCTTTGGCCACATATAAAACATAAAAAATAATGTATACAACTAAGAGGCTTCCCTTATTTTAACATTTTTTTATAACACTGAAAGAGGACAATACAAACATAAAACTAGTGGATATTTGGCCTTTTTTTGGTGAAACCAATGTATTAACATCTGATTTAACAGAAGTGGTTACAATTCCTAGTGAGTTCTCAAGCTGCTCTTCAGAATTTTTGATCTAATTTTACTCTGTATACTTCATCTTTAAAAATAGTTGTTTACAAGTGTATGTACTGCCAAAAAATGATGGTATGAATAAGACATGATTGTGAAGAGAGGGATATTTTTCTCCCATTTGATAGGTAGATAAGGTATTTATGTTGACTGAAACTAGCATTGCGAAAAAGAACATCTAAGACTGCTATTTTTCTTGGGGGGGTGTGTTAAAAATATAGCTAAAAGTCACATAATAACGTTAAAAGTTTGTGACCTTGTGGGACTACATTACTAACTGTCCAGCGTTGCAAACTGGTCATGCCTGGTCTAAAATGTTGATGTTCACAAATTTCCATCCTTGGCCCTTTAACTTTTCTATTCTCATGGCCTTAACTAGTATGTGTACACTGAGAATTTAGAAAATTCAGTTCTTTTTCTTTACTTCTCAGGTTCACATATACACCTGTTCAATGACAATCTCACCTGGAATTCCAGGCCAGGAGTGGCAAACCAATGGCACACGTGCCGCAGCAGGCACACAGAGCCCTCTCTGTTGGCACGTGAAACCCTGTAGCTGAGCACTGGATAACAGTTGTTTTACTAAACTAAACCCTCAGTACTCAGGTTTAAATGCAGTGTTGGCACTCTGTGATAAATAAGGGTGTCTGGGATTGTAGTTCGGGCACCTGGTTTATAAAGTTCGCCATTGCTAACCTAAGCTCTAGATAAGGCTTTAGGCCCCTGACATCCATCTATCATGGTACTCAGTAGGCTAGTTACTCACCATCTTGACTAGGTGAACTAGTCAAATGGCTTGCTTGGGAGCATATATGGCTGAGACTGCCAGTTGCTTATCCAATAC